GTGTGTATATACATACATACGATAATACATACATATCAGGTATATAGGGGGTTATAGTATAGTACTATTATATATTAATATAGTAATATATATATATTATATATTATATATATATAGTATATATCAAAACACCAAGAAAAAAAGACAAAAGAGGATCCCGAACGCAGGCCGCAAGAGACTCACAATCCAGAGTCCATCGAATCGGATCGTGTTGTAAAAGGATTCGATCTCGCTGATCCACCAGTCCTTGGCCGCGTCCTTGAAGAAGCTCGGGAAGCAGTGCGGTTGTCCGGCCACACCTGGCGGAGGGAATTGGCTGCGGTGGGGCTGTCGCCTTTGTTTTTGTTTGTTGTTTGTTTGTTATTTGTTTTGTTTTGTTTTTTGTTTTCCGTTTTTTTGGAGGAAATCTGGTGCGTGTTTTTCAATTGTTTCCGTTTTTTCTGTTGTTGTGTTATTATTATTTTTGGAAATTCATTTGTTAGTCTCCTTATCTTCGTGTGATGTGTGTGTGTGGTGATGTTGTGTGTGTGTTGTGTGTGTGTGTGTGTGTGTGTGTGTGTGTGTGTGTGGTGTGTGTGTGTGTGCGTGTGCGTGTGCGTGTGCGTGTGCGTGTGCGTGTGTGTGCGTGTGCGTGTGCGTGTGCGTGTGCGTGTGCGTGTGCGTGTGCGTGTGCGCGCGCGCGTGTGTGTATATGTGTTTGGCCAAGTTATTGTGTTTGTTATTGTTTATTCAATTATCATCGCTACCTGTCGAGCTAATTTCTTTCTATCTCCCCTTTCGTAACTAAGAACCAAGATTAGGCTAAAAGTAACCGACGGATTGTGATGAAAACTTACGTCCGGATTGGGCCAGGATTAGGAAGGTAGACGAGGGTAGATAACGAGTACATTCTTTGATAAAGAGTAACAAATTGAGTAGATTCTGAGGATGTATCAAGACAGACAAGGAGGCATCATTGTGGATTACTCAGGATATTGTGGATTTCCTTGGATATACCAGGTCAAGTGAGGATAAATTACTGCGGATTTGAGGGGCAGATTAGGGGAAGATGGTGGCAGATTAGGGGGGAAATCTTGAGGGTAGAATAAGAAGATTTTGTCAAGAGAGAGATAATGACAGATTTTAGGTAATGGCGATATGTCCGCTGTCTACTTTCTTTCTATTCTTTCTAGTTCATGTTCGCTATTCTATTAATTCGCTTATATTGACTATTGTCTATCTATTTATTCATTCATACATCTGTGATTTTCTTATTTAATCAATTTACGATCTTCTTATCAAACATTCTTCAGTTTATATAACCGTTTCTATTGATCGTTTCTTTTAAGTAACATACACACAACACACACACGCAGAGAGAGAGAGAGAGAGAGAGAGAGAAGAGAGAGAGAGAGAGAGACGAGGAGAGAGAGAGGAGGAGAGAGAGAGAGAGAGAGAGAGAGAGAGAGAGAGAGAGAGGAGAGAGAGAGAGAGAGATGAGGAGAGATGAGAGGAGAGGGAGAGAGAAGAGAGAGAGAGAGAGAGAGAGAGAGAGAGAGAGAGAGAGGAGAGAGAAGAAGGAAAGAAAAGAGGAGAGAGAGAGAGAGACAGACAGAGACAGAGACAGAGAGAGAGACAGAGAGGAGGAGAGGAAGAGAAACGGAAGAGAAGAGAAAGAGACAGAGAGAGACAGAGAGAGAAGAAAAAATAAAAAAAGAGAGAAAGGCTACCCAAAAGGAGAGGCGTGGAGGCGTACACACTATTTCATTTTTAGAAGATAAACATAACCGAGTTAGTTGTAACTGAATTTCTCTTCCCAATTCAATTACTCCATCACCACGAACGACAGAATTACACAAGGACAAATAAATAAAAGGAATTCTAAATGCCGAATTGAATATCACATCTACATATAAGGTAATAATACTACGTGTTGCAATGCATCATAAATACTGCGAGAGAATTACACGGAGATTTGCATACGAGTGGTTTCATCCTTGAATGTAGTTTCGTCGCTTTGCTCTCTCTCTCTCTCTGTTTCTCTTTCTCTTTCTCTTTATCTTTTTCGCTCTCTTCTCTCTCTCTCTCTTTCTCTCTCTTTCTTTCTCTTCTCTTTCTCTTTCTTTCTCTTTTCTCTTTTCTCTTTCTCTTTCTCTTTCTCTTTCTCTTTCTCTTTCTCTTTCTCTTTTCTCTTTCTCTCTCTGCTCTCTCTATCTATCTATCTATCTATCTATCTATCTATCTCTAGCTCTCTCTCTATCTCAATCTGTATCTCAATCTCTATTTCGATCTTTATTACTCTCTATTGATCTTTCACTCTATCTCTTTATCTGTCTCTCTCTTAATCTCTCTCTGCATTGCGTTCTATCTATTTGTAAAGATGTATGGACTCCACTGAAACTTTTGTTTACATATCGTTATATTTCTAATGGCAGATAAATATAGCAAAATTTAGTGTTATAACAAATAAACCAAATTATAATATTAAGTGCTATTTCAAATAGAATACATTATAAAAATGATTTATAAATGATTTGTTTGTTTAAATGTTAAACGATTCATTTTGAGGGAAAGCAATATATTTATTTTTTTGGCGACTTCTCGTCAGAACAAAGTGTTGGCCTCACCGTGTCCATTGATATATTTTCCTAAACTATATTGGCGACCGATTCAATCTTAATAATTTGAATAAAAAAATCTGTACGTTACATTTAATATATATATATATATATATATAATATATATATATATATATATATATATATATATATATATATATATATAATATAAATAACCGATTAACGAATTTTATGGGAGATACGTATTATAGTAACCTAGCCCCATTTTTAAATCGGTTACTGTATTACTTTAATTAATATGCAATCAAGTGCCAGGAAGCTTTATAGACTTGCTATAATCAATCTTACATACAAAAGAATATCAAAATTACCAAAAAGTAAGACTTAAAAAGCCAAATAATATTTTGATAGGTTAATGAAATAAACCTATCATACATATATCACAAATCACCCCCAAACATCCCAAAATAAAACCCACAAATACCACACAATTTCAAAAAAACAAAATAAAACAACAAACCACACATACTCACATAACCCAACATAATCTTTTGTCCGAGTTCGCCGCCGCCATTATTTTCGGCGACGTGCTCTGGGTTTCGTCTCGGCGCCCCACTCGATGTAGGCGCCTGCATCCAGTGCGTTCTTGTGGGGCGGGTAGTCGGATGAATCCAGCTGGTGCATAGGCGGATTTTCGTTTTTATTTTGTTTTTTTTTTTTTTTAGGTCTATTCATTCACTTAGAGTTTAGTTTTCTATCTTTTTTTAGTACTTTTCGTCTTTTAATACTATTCGAGGAAGATCGAAAAGAGGAGAGAGAGAGAGATAGAGAGAGAGCGAGAGAGGAGAGAGGGAGAGGGAGAGGAGAAAGAGAGAAAGAGGGCAAGAGAGAGAGAGAGGGAGAGAGAGACGAGAGAGAGAAGAGAGAGAGAGAGAGAGAAGAGAGAGAGAGAGAGAAAGAGAGACGAGAGAGAGAGCCGATAGCGACAGAAGTAGAGAGAGGAGAGTGGATTTTTGACGAAAGAGAGGGAAGAGTGGTTTTTTTGACAAAAACAAGGCTAGTCCGATCACAATCCAAAGAAATCAAGGTAAATCAATTATATCAGCAGTGTATCTTTTAGTAAACGTGTGTGTGTGTGTGTGTGTGTGTTGGGTGTGTGTGTGTGTGTGTGTGTGTGTGTGTGTGTGTTGTCGTGTGTGTGTGTGTGTGTGTGTGTGTGTGTGCGTGCGTGTGCGTGTGGTGGTGTGCTGTGGGCGTGTTGCGTGTGCGTGTGCGTTGTGCGTGCGTGTGCCTGTGCGGTGCCCTGTGCGTGTGCGTGTGGCGTGGTGGCGTGCGCGTGGAGCGCGTGTGTTGGTGTGTGTGCATGTGCATTTCTATCATATATGTATGTATATATATATTTAATATATTATATATATATATATATATATATATATATATATTAATATATATATATATATATATATATAATAATATATATATATATATATGTATGTATGAGCACCCCGACAAAAGATCTTTCCCCACCATTCTTATAATGTTAATGTCAGTGTTAAAGTTCCCATTGCTGTTGTTGTTGTTGATCGACGGGACAAATCACATTAACTATAATTAGGAGATCGGAGATCGTCACGTAATTAGATTCCCAGGAACTAATCGAAACTAATGAAAAGTTAATAGGATAGACAGCCGAGCGATAGAGGATAGGCGCCTGAAGGGAAAAGATGAAAAAAAAAAATGTAAAGGAAAAAGAGAGAAAGAGGGAGAGGTGAGGGAGATGAGAGGGGAAGGAGGGAGGGAGGGAGCAAGTGAGGGGAGAGAAGGGGGAGGGAAAGGAGGGAGAAAGAGCATAAGAAGTAAGTATTTGGGAAGAAAGATAGATAGATAGACAGAGAAAGATTGAGGAGGCGGTATACATAGATAGAACCTTCCGTTTCCCTCTCCCTTTCCCTCTCCTTCTCTCTCCCCTTGCCTCTCCCTCTTCTTTCTACTTGTACTTGTATGGGTACAAGTGCTTGCACTCGTAATCTCATCCTCTGTCCCTCTCTCTACATTCTATTACTTTCTCTCCTCTCCGTCTCTATCCCCTCTTGTATCTCTATTTTTATTTTTACTTGTACTATGGCTTTTACTTTTCTTGTTCACGGTCTCTCTCTCTCTCTCTCTCTCTCTCTCTCTCTCTCTCTCTCTCTCTCTCTCTCCTCTCTCTCTCTCTCTCTCTCTCTCTCTCTCTCTCCCTCGCCCTCTCGCTCTCCTTATCCTCTTTCCTCTTTCTCCCCCATTATTCCTCTCCTCTCCCTCTCCTTCTCCTCTCCCTCTCCCTCCCTCCTCCCCAACTCGCTCTCGCTCTCTCTCTGCTCTCGCTCTCCTCTCGCTCTCGCTCCTCGCTCTCTCTCTCTCTCTTCTCTCTCCTCTCAGGTATCTGTTATCAGAATTAGATGAGTATGGTGGAGTAGACCCTAATGGTTTGTTTCCTTTGATTAAAAAAAAAAGACTAAATAGTCAATTAGCCCCTAAATTAGCCGTAATCCAACGCCTTTTAGCTCGTAAAGGGTTATTTCCAGAGTGCTGGCGCTTTGGTAATGTTACCCCTATTCCCAAGGGCCCACTGCAGCCTTCACCTCCTGAATATAGGCCCATTTCAATTACACCGTTGCTTCCTGAGGCTCGGTTTGGGTACAAGTACTTGCACTCGTAATCTCGTACTCTGTCCCTCTCTCTACTTTCTATTATTTTTTTCTCTCTCTCTGTCTCTATCCCTTTTTTTTACTCTTATTTGTACTATGGTTTTTACTTTTCTTGTTCACGGTCTCTCTCTCTCTTTCTCTCTCTCTCTCTTCTCTCTCTCTCTCTTCTCTCTCTCTCTCTCTCTCTCTCTCTCTCTCTCTCTCTCTCTCTCTCTCTCTCTCTCTCCTCTCGTCCTCTTGCTTCCATTATCCTCTTCCTCTTCTCTTCCATTATCCCTCTTCTCTTTCCTCTCCTATTCTCCCTCTCCTCTTTCTCTCCCATTCTCCCTCTCTCTCCCATTCTACCTCTCCCTCTCCTCCCTATCTCTCCCTCCCCCCGTCTCGCTCTCGCTCTCGCTCTCGCTCGCTCTCTTCTCTCTCTCTCTCTCCTCTCTCTCTCTCTCTCTCTCTCTCTCTCTCTTCTCTCTCTCTCTCTCTCTCTCTCTCTCTCTCTCCCTCTCTCTATCTATCTATCTATCTCTCATGCAACCCATTACCATGCTTTAATTCATTTGCTTTCAGGTCCTCTGAAATCAAGTATCTGTTATCAGAATTAGATGAGTATGGTGGAGTAGACCCTAATGGTTTGTTTCCTTTGATTAAAAAAAAAAGACTAAATAGTCAATTAGCCCCTAAATTAGCCGTAATCCAACGCCTTTTAGCTCGTAAAGGGTTATTTCCAGAGTGCTGGCGCTTTGGTAATGTCACCCCTATTCCCAAGGGCCCACTACAGCCTTCACCTCCTGAATATAGGCCCATTTCAATTACACCAATTTTATCCAAGGTTTTTGAACGTTTTTGCTTCCTGAGACTCAGTTTGGTTTTAGAAAGGGACTCGGCTGCAATGATGCTCTGCCTATATTGGTGCATGAAAATCAGTCTGCTCTAGATAAGGGTCATGAGTCAAGGCTTGTCTCTTGGGATTTTAGTGTAGCTTTTGATGTTATTAATCACAAGGGTTTATTTCTAAGTTGCAGTCTGTTGGTGGTAAAGTTTTAAGTATTTTAACTGAATTTTTAACTGGTAGGCAGCGGCGTGTTCATGTTTTAGCTCGTATTCCCGTGTGTCTTCTGGGGTTCCTCAGGGTGTTGTTCTTGGCCCTTTGCTCTTTATTTTAAATACAAGTGATCTGTGGTCTGGCATTACTAATAAAATGTTGGCATATGCCGATAATATGCTGATATTCCTTCTACGGCAACTGTCTCACTGTAGACCTGATGATAATCGTGGTGCTCTCGGTGGGGCATGAAATCAAATCCTAAGTCTAAGGGATGATTATGTCGGTCTCGAATGCAGTTGCCTCAGCATCCAAGTCTGCAGATTAATGGAATCTTAATCAGTGGATAACCTGAAGCTCTTGGGTGTAACATTTGACTCAAAGCTTACATTTGATTTGCATACTAGGAATATGGCCCGGGCAATTTCATCCAAGTTGGGCATCATTCGCAAGTGAAAGAAAATCTATGAAGATGACAACATTACTTATAGATGCTTCTTTTTTTATTCTGCCTTATCTTGAATATTGTTATCCTGTGTGGTTATCTGCTGCAGAGTCACACTTAAGACTGCTTAAATTTCTCCTGTCAGATTTAAATTCGGACATTGGACACCGTAGGGATATTGGGGCTCAATCTTATACAAGATTGTAACCGATAATTCACATCCTCTATAAGTTTTTACCTGAATTTTATCAACCTGTATGAGTTACCATAGATTACGAGAATGCAATTTCTCCGACTCTTGATAAAATTAAAAGATCAGCTAAAAAGTTTTTCTTCCGTAAATAGCTAACTTTCTGTCTTCTCACTCTTTCTTAGCTGTATCTTGATCTGCACTGACACCTTTGGTGGTAAAAATCTTGATTTTTTTTCAGTGTGGCTCTTTATATATAGCTTATAATAATAATAAAGATAATAATAATCTCTCTGTCTCTCTCTCTCCCTCTCCATTACCCCTCTCTCTCCCTATTCTCCCTCTCTCTCCCATTCCCCCTCTCTCTCCCATTCTCCCTCTCCCTCTTCTCCCACCCTCCCTCTCTCCCTCTCTCTCCCACTCTCCCTCTCTCCCTCTCTCCCCACCTCCCTCTCTCCCTCTCTCTCCCCTCCTCTCTCTCCCACCCTCCTCCTCTCTCCCACCCTCCCTCTCTCCCTCTCTCTCCACCCTCCCTCTGTCTCCCATTCTCCTCTCTCTCCCACCCTCCCTCTCTCCCTCTCTCTCCACCCTCCCTCTCTCCCTCTCTCTCCCACCCTCCCTCTCTCCCTCTCTCTCCCACCCTCCCTCTCTCTCCTCCCTCTCTCTCCCATCCCTCTCTCCTCCCTCTCTCTCTCCCTTCTCTCCCACCCTCCCTCTCTCCCTCTCCCTCCCTCTCTCTCCCACCCTCCTCTCTCCTCTCTCTCCCACCCTCCCTCTCTCCCTCTCTCTCCCACCCTCCCTCTCTCTCCCCCTCCCCTCTCCCCTCTCTCCCTCTCTCCCTCTCCACCACCTCTCTCCCTCTCTCTCCTCTCTCTCCCTCTCTCTCCCACCCTCCCTCTCTCCCTCTCTCTCCCACCCTCCCTCTCTCACCTCTCTCTCCTCTCTCCCTCTCTCTCCCACCCTCCCCCTCTCCCTCTCTCTCTCCCTCTCTCCCTCTCTCTCCCACCCTCCCTCTCTCCCTCTCCTCTCCTCTCTCTCTCCTCTCCCTCTCTCTCCACCCCTCCCTCTCTCCCTCTCTCTCCCCCTCCCTCTCTCCCCTCTCTCTCCCACCTCCCTCTCTCCCTCTCTCTCCCACCCTCCTCTCTCTCCTCTCTCTCTCTCCCACCCTCCCTCTCTCCCTCTCTCCTCTCTCCTCCTCTCCCACCCTCCCTCTCCTCTCTCTCTCCCTCTCTCCCTCTCTCTCCCACCCCCTCTCTCCCTCTCTCTCCCACCCTCTCCCCTCTCTCTCCCACCCTCCCTCTCTCTCACCAAAAACCCATTCTCCCGTCAAACGCGTGGATCCGGAGCGTCTCATTCACCACCAAACTTCGCAGCCAAGTTATATATTCGCCGTGGCAAGTTATGGCAACTGACCCGTCTAGCGTGCGGCAAAGTTTCGAGAGATTGGTGTGGTGTTGGTCTGTGTTGGTCTGGGTCGCTGTCTCTTAAGTGGCGGGGGATCGACAGGAATCAGCTGATCTCCGGTGGAATATTTTGAGAGAAAGAAGTGTTGATACTGACGCTATCATGTATTCAGAATAGCATCAGCTGATCTCCGGTGGAATTTTTAAGAGAAAGAGTGTTTGATACTGACGCTATCGTGTATTCAGAATATATTTGTTTTTTTTTCACTGACTTTCGTGTGTCTCAGTTTTTGTTTGTGTTGTGTGTGGTTTTTTTGTTTGTTTGTTTGTTTGTTTGACGGTCCGTTGTTTCCTAAGTGGCAAGGCCAACGAACACCAGCTGATCTTGGTGAAATTATGAGAAATATGAAATTGGAAGTAAAATAAATAATAATAATAATAAGAGGAAATGGTGTATTGAAATATGAATGTTTTCTGTGGACTTTCGTGTGGTGGGAGATTAAGAAAGATCAGCTGATATTGGTTGGTGAAAGAAGTCAGAAGTCTGGGAGAAGTTCCTGCCAATCTTCTCACTTATTAAAGATTGGGATGTTTTTATTATCGTGAGCTACCTTTTTTTTCGTTTCGTTTCTTGTAAGGGGTGGGTATTATTGTGAGTGTTTTTTTTTTGGGGGGGGGAGGTCTGTTTTTCTCTGACTCTCTTTTCGTGTCTGTCTCTCTATGTCTCTGTGTTTTTCTCTGTCTGTCTGTCTCTCTCTCTCTCTCTGTCTGTCTGTCTGTCTGTCTGTCTCTCTCTCTCTCTCTCTCTCTCTCTCTCTCTCTCTCTCTCTCTCTCTCTCTCTCTCTCACACACACACACACACACACACACACACACACACACACACACACACACACACACACACACACACACACACAACACACACACACACACACACACACACACACACACACACACACACACACACACACATTCACACACACACACACACACACTTTTGGCCATATGTATTCGTATAGGCCTATGTACGTATTCAAATTTCATGTAAGTATATGTGCGTGAAATTAGGCATGTGTGCGTACACATGACTAGACTTACAAGAAATGAACCGTGGAAAAGGAGGGTAATTTCCTCATTTGCATAATACTATATAATTTTATACTCAACTGTTTTGACCTGATTTTTTTTTTTTTTTTTTTTTTTTTTTTCCCTTTGATCCCAAATTATCTGCAATTTCGCCTCCCACATTAGCATAAAGGAAAATTTGAGGTAATTTTACACATTTTGATTATGATGATGTCGCTGTTCTGGAAAGAGGATTCTGTTTGTGTCTGTCTGTCCTTTATGTCGTTCTCGTTATCTTTATTGTTGTTTGTTTTCTTGATCTGTCTGTCTGCCATTCTCATTTTCATGTTCGTAATAATAGTCATGCTCGCGTCCATGATTTTGCTCATATTCTTAGTCATATTTACCCTCATACATACACACGAACTCATAATCACACTCACACTCACTTTAACACTTACACTCACTCTCATACTCGCGCTCACACTCACATATACTAACTCTTACACTCACACTCACACTCACACAAACTCACACTCATTCTAACACTCACACACTCTCACTCTCCCTTCTCTCCCCCACCTCCTTTCTCCCCTCCCCCTTTTCCCCTCCTTCTCCTCTCCTAACCCCCCCACCCGCCTCACCTCCCCCCTTTCCCCCTCTCCCCCCTTACCCCCCTCCCTCCCCTCCTTACATCCCCCCCCAATCCCCTCCTTACCCGCCCCTCCTTACCCCCCATCCCGCCTCACCTCCGCGTTGATCGCCGGATCCAAAATGGCGACGAACCTGAGCCCGTTTTCTTTGGCCTCGAGGACATACTCTGGTAAACCTGCGTAGTTCACTTGGTCGTATGTGAAGTCCAGTCGGCGGTCCATGTAGTCGATGTCACCATACTGCACGTCCTGTTCGGGGCAAGAGAGTGTTGAGATTAATAGGGGAATGCAGGGAATGAGAGATGATGGTGTTGATAATAATATTGATGATAATAATGACATTTATAATGATATGTTGATAACAATATTAAGAAATAATGATTATGATATTATAATAACAGTTATAACAAATAATGATAAATAATTATAATTATGATAATAATATATGGTAACAAAAAAAATGACAATAATGACAATGTATATATATACATATAGTACAATGTACATATATACATATATAGTATATATATTCATATATATGTATATGTATGTGTGTGTGTATACATATATGACATACATATATTGATATATATTATATATATATATATATGTGTTGTGTGTGTGTGTGTGTGTGTTGTGTGTGTGTGTGTGTGTTGTGTGTATATAATATATATATATAATATATATATATATATATATATATATATATATATATATATATATATAATATATATATATACACATATATATGCATGTACGTATGTATAATATATATATATATATATATATATATATATATATATATATATATATATATATATATATATATATACATATACAACATATAACATATGTATATATGTATACATATCATATATATAAACATATTAAAGCAGCGACCAACTTCCTCCATCGCGGGGACGAAGACGCGGCAGGAGGACGAAGCCGTCCCACTCTCTCCCGGAAAATCGAGTTCTGCGAATCGGAAACCCGGAGAGGCATCGCGCGAAGGAAACGGCGCCGCGAAACAGGGCTGCTCTTGCATGGGTTTGCGTCCCTTTGGGGGGAGGGGAAGAGGGGGGAAAGAGGGACGGACGGACTGATTGATTGATGACTGACTGACTGACTGACGGATTGACTGACTAACAGGAAGGACTGATTGACTGACGGAAGGACTGACTGACTGACATTGATTGATTGATTGACTGACGACTGACGGGACGGAAGGACTGATGACTGACTGACTGACTGACGAAGAACTGACTGACTGACCATTGATTGATTGATTGATTGACTGACTGACGACGGAAGACTGATTGACTGACTGACGAAGAACTGACTGACTGACATTGATTGATTGATTGACTGACTGACGACGGAACGGAAGGACTGATTGACTGACTGACGACTGACGAAAGACTGATGACTGACAGATTGATTGATTGACTGACTGACTGATTGACTGACGGAACGACACTGACTGACCGGATTGACTGACTGACTGACTGACGGACGGAAATGACTGACGACTGACTGACTGAACTGATGGACTGACTGACTGATGACGGACTGACGGAGACTGACGGACTGACGGACTGACTAACTGACGGACTGACCTGACTGACGGACTGACGACGGACTTGACGACTGACTTGACGAAGGGCGGACTGAATCAAAACAATCAATAAGCGAACGAATGAATGAGCTAGGGATTGAGTGATTGAGTGAGAGACTGAGAGAGACAGACAGAGAGAGAGAGAGAGACTGAGAGAGAGAGAGAGACAGAAAGAGAAAGAGAGAGAGAGAGAGAGTGAGTGAGACAGACAGAGAGAGAGAGAGGAGAGAGTGAGAGAGAGGAGAGAGTGAGAGAAGAGAGAAGAGAGAGAGAGAAGAGAGAGAGAATTCGCAAAAATACAAGTCTTTCCACACCTCATCCTCCAACATTAAAAAAAAAATATAAAAAAAAATAAATTAAAAAAAAGTTAACGCCCTCCAGCTTCCGAAACGAAAAGCGCAACCCGTGAGAGATGTCCCCGTCAGAGATGCAGCATCAGTAAAGTTGACAAGATATAAAGTGCGCCTTCAGGAATGTCCCAATTATCCGGGGAGATGGATAACACTTTCTCTCTGTCGGCGAATTTACTTGTTAAAACTTGGGTATAAACTTTACACATCTTAGGTGGTTAATCTATCATTTTTCCAAAACCTTTTGACGTCTTTTTTCATGTTTTGATCGTTTTATTGAACTCTCATTTATAAAAATGTCTAACTAGATTTGACCCGAAACGATTTTTTTCTCTCTTTCATGTTTGTTTTTTTAACATTCCGCCAGAATCGCTTTTTGATGTCTCTCTTTGCCCTGATTAGGTCTTATACTTGATTCGAAAGTTTTTTAATTTACAATATCATATTTATTAGCTTAATCCTGTGAGCTAACAGAAATGTTTTATTTCTGTTCTATCTTATATTCATTTTTTCATAACTTAGAAGGAAAAAAATAGACGTCATGAATACACTTCTCCACCCTATATAAAAGATTTTCCAAATGCTCTGAATTTTAAGCATGATCCGTGCAGATTTCCTCAACCTGGCAGCCATTAAAGACGACTAAAAATAAATAAACCTACGTGAGGTATTTCCGCTTCTCTCGTCCTGTTAACCGCCGCCTGCAGCTCTTCCAAGGAACCGTAGCCGTATCTGGGGAAAGGAAGCGAACATCGTGAGAAAGAGACACGTAAGAGTTCGTATTCGTGTTTACGGCGGTGGCGGTGGTTACGGCGAGGGCGGCGGCGGTATTGATCAGAAGCAGGAAAGGGTTTGATGAAGATGCTGGTGATGGTGCGGGTGATAATAAGGCTACAGGTAAACATAATAACCCTTTCGGCTTCCCCTTTCTCTTGTATACAGAGGGGCACATTACAGACCCTTCCCTTGTTGACTTCCACTCAAACACAACTACAGTCGCACCGTTAGACACACACACACACACCACACACACACACACACACTCACACACACACACACACACACACACACACACACACACACAACACACACACACAACACACACACACACACACACACACACACACACACACACACACACACACACACACACACATATACACACATGCACAAACGCAACTGCACAAACTCACGCAAACGCCCACAGAATGTGATAGTAACCGTAGAGGGAGTATAACGTGACATTGCGAGTTAAAATAGAACCCCTTCAGACCATAAAATCCAAAATCGTCGAAAATCCCTTTCTATTCACCTGAAAAGGAATAAAAAAGACTCGAAACGTCACAGTCCTGGTGATTCTCAATGGAATTCTCATCTCCCTCTATCCCCCATGACTTATTTAGGTTTAAGTTGTTATTTTGGTTGTAAGGATAATTTTCTTTTCACAAATGTTACCATAAGTGTTTTGATGATGGCATGTTTACTACGGGCTATAAAAACATAGCTGTCGTTCTCCACCGTTCTATAACGAGGCGTGTCCTTATATATTATAATCCGCCTGTGCACACTTAATCAAAATAACAAACAACAAGTCTCTGCATATAAGCATCCACCAGAGCTCATTCAAACCAAACCAACACGTAATAACAAACAACAAACATCTCTCTAACAAACATACCAGCATCCCTCAGCTAGCCCTTACCTACACAGCTGGAAGCCCAAAGCCCAATAAGGGGGCATGACAGGCCTGTGTATCAGGGCGGTGTACTGGGACACAACACCCTCAGGTTCCGGTCCCAGCACCATGTAGAAGTCCAAGACGCCTCCAATGGTCCTGTAGCTGATGGCCGGGTAGTCGAGGAGTTGGTAGTCTGAGGGGGAGGAGGGAGTGGCGTGAGGTGTGGAGAGGAGGGAGCGTGGCGTATGTGTGGTGGTGTGGGTGTGGTGTGAGGGATGATGGTGATGGGTTGGTGGTAATTGGTGGGTGGTGAGGGAGTGATGGTGATGGGTTGGTGTAATGGTGTGGTGGTGAGGGAGTTGATGGTGAATGGGTGTGGTGGTGGTTGTGGTGGTGAGGGAGCTGATGGTGATGGGTTGGTGGTGATGGGTGTGGTGGTGAGGGAGCTGATGGTGATGGGTTGGTGGTAATGGGTGTGTGGTGAGGGAGTTGATGGTGATGGGTTGGTGGTATGGGTGTGGTGGTGAGGGAGCTGATGGTGATGGTGGTGTGATGGGTGTGGTGTGAGGGAGCTGATGGATTGGGTTGGTGGTAATGGTGTTGCGTGGTGGGGAGTGGTGATGGTGATGGTTGGTGGAATGGGTGTGGGCTGAGGAGCTGATGGTGTGGGTTGGTGTGATGGTGTGGTGGTGAGGGAGCTGATGGTGATGGGGTGGTATGGGTGTGGTGGTGAGTGGTGGGTGAATGGGAGCTGATGGTGAATGGTTTGGTGATGGGTGTGGTGGTGAGAGCTGATGGTGAATGGTTGGGGGTGATGGGTGTGGTGGTGATGATGGTGATGGGTTGGTGGTGATGGGTGGTGGTGGTGAGGGAGCTGAGGGTGATGGGTTGGTGTGTGATGGGTGTGGTGGTGGTGAGGGACGTTGAGGGATGGGTTGGTGGTGATGGGTGTGGTGGTAGGGAGGTGTTGGTGATGGTATGATGTTGATGGTGTGGTAATATGTTGATGGTGGTAATGAGTGTGGTGGTGATGTGATGTGATGAGTGTGGTGTGATGTTGATGGTGATAATGAGTGTGGGGTGATGTTGATGGTGATAATGAGTGTGGGGTGATGTTGATGGTGGTAATGAGTGCCGTGTGATGTTGATGGTGATGAGTGTTGAGTGGATGGTGAGTGTGGTAGTGAGGATGCTGGCGTGATTGTGGTGGCAAGTGTGGTGGTGGTGATGCTGAGGAACTGATGAATATATGAAAAAAATGAATGCAAACATCCATATTAAATCTACAGAAAAAGTTATGTCGAATAAAATTTCTTGGATTTGACTTAGGAATTTTAATATCAAACTTTCCTCTAAGTTTTTTAATATGAAAATGTGTGAGAAAGAAAAGGAAAGAGAGAACGGGAGGAAATAATTGATATAGAAGGGAAGAGAGAGAGAAAAAAATGAAAATGATAAAAATATTATGAAAAGATAATGAGAAGGATATAAGAGAGAGAGAAAAATAAATATGAGAAGAGGGTTAATGACAAAAAGGAGGAAACGATAAAAAGGAAAAAAAAGAATGGGAGACGGAAACAAACATAAATAAATAACAAAACAATTAATTGATTAATTAAAAATAAATAAATAAACAGGATCGAAAAGGAGCAACCTGCTAAACAGAAAACAGAAGAGAGAATTATAAAGATAAAGAGCGAAATAGACCTTAAGAAAGACGGGGAAAGGCAAACACAGGAAGAAACGGATAAAGCAAGAGGCAGATGGAGAAATATTGAAAGACGGAGAAATATGAACAGAGAAAAAAAAAAGCCAGACAGACTGACAAACAGAGAAAAGGTAGAAGGAGAGAAAAGATAGACAGAGAAGAAGAGACAGAGAGAAAAAGAAAGACAGAAGAAGAGACAGACAGAGAGATAAAGGCTAACGAGATAGGAGAGATAGGAAAGGCTAACGAATAGATAGACAGAGAGATAGGAAAAGCTAACGAATAGATAGAGACTAACGAATAGATAGAAGAGAGATAGGAAAGGCTAATAGACATATATTAGTTAGACAGAGAGATAGGAATAACGACAGAAAAAGAAAACTTAAAGCATTGAATTTACATGTTAAACTTCACACAACAGAAACCGGAAACAAAACAAAATACACACGAAGACAAACCAAGAAAAACAAACCAAAAAAGAAAGAGAAAAAAGAAAAAAACAAAAAAACAGAAGAAGACGTTAGAATACACACGAAGACAAACCAAGAAAAAAAACCAAAAAAGAAAGAAAGAAAAAACAAGAAAAACAGAAGAAGACGTTAGAATACACACGAAGACAAACCAAAAAAAACAAACAAAAAAGAAGAGAAAAAAAAACAAGAAAAAAAAACAGTAGAAGTTAGACGAAGAAAACACCAAATCATTTTACTAATAACTTCTTGCACAGAGTCAAGGCAAGCACGTCCATGTCTTGAATGATGTAATATCTAGCAAGGCAATTAATGTCGTTGCTAATCACTAGGTAATTACACGAATTCAAATGGCAACTCAGGTACGTGTTAGACAGACAACTAATTGAAATACTACGGTTAAGATTCGACATATTAGATAACAATAATCCTCATATAAATAATAAATAAATCATATAAATAAATAATACTAATCCTCAGTTACTGAACTACCATTAATTAGGAATACAGATCATTTCATTTTGTTGTAATCTAATCAGCAATTTCTTTACCTTAATAACAATTAATTAAACCATTAGATCGATCACATAACAAACATAAACATAATTTAACTTCTAAAACGCAAAACCAAAATTATGCTAAAATCTATAGACTTGTACTATAATTAGCATATCATTATCATT